AATGCAGACCACTATGTCTTCAGCGGATCAGTTGTCACGCATCAGACACTCTCTGACCACCAGAAGGGCTCAAATCGTGGATGAGATGAGCGAGAAGAAGATAATCAGCAAAAAGCAATGCTTGCAATGGATGGATGAGTTGTACGACATTGTGATCACCGCTGACACGGACACCACCGCCACACGAGTCACCAACAGACAGGTCATCCACTATAGGCCACTCGACCACACCATCGCCACTGCCTCCACAGGTCAAGACAAGACTCCCGACGAGCACACCATCGCCGACACCACTGTCCCCACAGACACCATAGACTTGGAGTCGCAATCAAATGCTATGACATGGGATGAGCACGAGGTTGAGGTATACACTGATCCCAAGACAGACGCAAACAATAATCTCGCGACTGATGCCAACACTGACCACAAGACTACGCCTAAGCCTAAGCCGAGGATTGGCAAGAAAATAGAGCCGCGATATAAGGCAGTGATTGTGGGCTTGGATTCACTAACGAGTGGCTATAAAGACATCGATTGGGACGACTGGTCGACCACTACTCCGGCCACTACTTCTGCGTCCATTAATACCGATCACTGGAATGACGATTACGACGACAATTGGGAACCCATTGACAAGACTCGTCGTGAGAGCACTGATGACAGTGAGGGCACGAGTGGTGCGACCAGTGCTGAGACAAGTGGTGAGCATTTGTGGGCTTCTGGAGGACAGGTGTTGGGCGGAGACATGGCTCAGACACCGGCGCCGGACATGACTGCCGAGCAGATGAGACAACTGCGGGCTCTTCGGACTGAGCAGCGATTGGCTGAGAGCGCACACCGCGGCGCCCACAGGGGCTCGAGGCTCACACACACCCGCCCTCCCGGCGCCCCCTCCGACACCTACAGCCACTTGCTCAGGCAACTGTAGACATATGTAGTACCCGTCCACTACTCGCATAACATTTATTTGGATTCACTTTTGTTTGTCCTAATCATTCAATAGCTGTTCATATTGTGTTCATTCACTTCATTATTTGATATGTTTTTTCAATAACTTATGATTATATTCGATAAATGGGTGCAAAGTATTAGATATCATTGAAAAGACAAATTGCATGAAAACTTAACTTAATTATGTTTGTATTGTATTTGTGGCTAATTATTAACGAAAATATATAATGAGAATTGTATTGAAATTGTTGAAGAATTCATAAAATAGTAAAAAGTGTGAATCAAATGAATGCGTCGTATGTTTGACAATACAGACGACACCTAATAGTAAGCGTCCAATAAGTTCATGACCAGTCATTCTGTCATTCTATGCCTGACTGTGTGAACAAAACAATTCGAATTTTGCGCTCAACTTTCGAGTCATTCGAACGCAGAGTCAAAGGCATTGGTTTTGCCGGCAATAGTGGGCCATAAATAACGCGCTGTTGTGAGCACTGAGTTGAGTGCGAGTGCGACGACGTATGATATGAGTGGCAGTGAGTGTGCAGTGAATGCATTGAAAGGCGCCATCACTTCAGTCGCTGTTGTATTCAAAACATATTCATTACCACAAGACTATCACATCAACACTTCCGAACAAGCGATGGACGAGTCAATCGACACGAAGCCAGTGCTGACGGACGAGACGGCTGTGGAGGCCGTGACGGACGACGCGAAAGGCAAAGACGCGGCACAAGAGGTGACGGAGAAGAGCGCCGCCGAAGAGCCGATGAGCGCCTCCGACGACAAGGAGACGGACGAGAAGATGGACGCCGAAGAGAGTGCTGTGGAGGCGGCCGTTGATGGCGGAGACGCCGTGGAGAAGTCGACAGCGGCTGACATCGAGTCGTCTGCAGCGCCGGCAGTGGAAGAGAGCGTCGACAGCATCGGCGGTAAGGGCGCGGAGCCGGCTGTGGAACCGGTGCCCGACGTGGCGCTGAAGTCGCCGTCGGAGGCGGAGAAGGCGTCGCCGGCTCCGGCCATCCAGTCGTTGACTCCTCCGCGCTCTCAGGGCTCGAAGAAACCGAAAGTGGATTTGGCGTCCGTTCCCGTCCGCCAGTATTTGGACACAACAGTCGTTCCCATTCTTCTCCAGGG